AATTTGTTGGCATTTTCTTTTGTAAGTTTTCTAGACCAGACGTTTGGCTTTTGCTCTGACTTGGTCATGTCATTTCAGATGTTTGTGGTGAAAAATGATTTAATTTTCAAAAGTTTTTTATATTTCATTAAAATTAGGTGTTAACGATTGCTTAGCTTGTAACTATCCTAAAAGTGAGGCCAGCTGAGCAGAATATTGAGCCCGGAAGACGCCAGACGATCGATGCGTTGGCAAAGTCCGCATAAATTCAGTATCCCCTGGCTTAACAAATTCTGGAAAATGCCATTTGCAAACCAAATCGAAGGCTTAATGAGAAGGCCAAGGGACAATGCTAAGGATGCTTTGCGATTCGTTTGACGATTAAGCTCATCGTTTCACTTAATGTGGATAACCACCATCTTGATAACAAAAACTGAATGAGTTTAACAGGGGCAGACAATAACCCGCTTTGTTTGTAAATTAATTTTGAATATGATAATTGTCGGTTACATTCTTACTTTGATTAAAACTAACAAGCCTGAATTTCACATTTCGAAAATAAGAACATGTATCCACATTAAAAGTTCGACTCGTTGATTTATTTACTTAAATATAAATATATAACGTTTGTGATTTTTGTTGTTCCTTTTGCATCGATTGTAGCCTTTTAATATTTTATACATCACCCATGGTCAGTTTTGTGGGGGTGAAATGACCCCATAGGATGTGCTTACACGGTTTTAATACATTTTACATTGCACTGAAAAAAGCCTGGAAAGAACAAATACTACAAAATAATTAAAGGGTAACAGTGTTAACCTATTTTTCGCAAACTCAAAGGGTCACATTTGTATTTAACCTTAGCACAATAGGATTCAGCGAAAGCCAACTTATTAGTAAGCCTTAAATGCGTTCCGCAATAAAATATTGCAGACTTTTGCGTCGACTGTGCTTTGGCTGATTATCAACTTGATTAACTCGACGTTTTCGCATCCAAATTAGTGGCCAAATGGCGGTTAATTAAAATTGTAAATTTTGAACTTTTCTTTTCATTTCTTCTTACCAGCCAAACAATTGCAATTTATTTTTAGAGAGAAAAACCTTTTGTGGAAAATGGCATTGCAGCACGCCATGGCTGGAAGTCCGAAGAAAGTTTGGCTCTTTCTTTTTTCTTTTTTCCTTTTGCTGCCATAAATAACGCGACCCACCCGTGCACAGACATATAAAGCGACCCCACTCAGGTGGAGCCGGCAAGCAAATTGAGTTCAACAAATTACACCTGCTAATGCTGGCTGGCTATGTGCAATTGCTAGCACGACCGGCCAACAAGTGTTGGCTAATTACGTGAGCAAAAAGCCAAGCTTAAAGTGCACTCGAGCATGCACAAAAAAGGCGAAGAAAATACTCAAATTGCAGATGGCCACATGGAGTTTAGGTTAGGAAATGCCCTGAAATACTATGATTCGTATTATCGTATTTATATAAAATACAATTCCATGGCAAATCTTTTGGCGCAGGATCTAACGGGTGGCGCCACCTAGCATATTCACTACCACACTACTTAACATGCAAGACCTTTTCCAATTAAATACTAAGTAATTCATAACTTTTTCAACAAATCTACAAAAATGCGGGCGCTAGTGCGTTAGCGTTATTGTGGGCGTGGCACTCCGATGAAACAAACAATCTTCATGCTTAATCCCAACATTCTAGCTGTTATTGTCCCCGAGATCTTAGTCTTTATAAGGACAGACGGACATGTCCAGTTCGACTCGGCTAGTGACCGTGATCTAAAATATATATACTTTATGGAGTCGGAAACGCTTCTTTCTACCTGTTACATAGTTTGCGACAAATCTAATACTGTACGACTAACTGGTATAAATATATATATTTTGAAAACCCAACTTATGTAAGTTAATAATGATATTTTTTATGCTATATTAATATTTTAAGAATAAATAGCAGAGTGGAAAAACACCTAATCTAAAAAGCTTATGTAAAAAGTCGGAGGTAAGTATTAGGTATTAATTTTTGAACAATATGCTGGAATATGATCTAAAAAATGGGAGAAAAGTTTAATTATGTTTATTAACTATTTCGATAACTTAAGTTTTAAAGTAGTGGTCCTTTATTGATTGAGAAGAATTTGGCCTTGTTGACCGGAAAAGGAAGACAAAACAAAAATCCCACCAGCAAAGACAATTTGAAAGGCAAAATATTTGACATTTCCATTAGGCAAAAGTTAGCTGTGGAACAGCCAATTTCCCCCCTCTGCGCATTTTTTAATAGGTCAACTGGAGAGAAGCTTTCAATAAATTTTCCTGATTTCTTAGCCACAAAGACGAGAAACACAAGAATGGGGTAACAACGGAAAAAGTTGCATAAATCAATTTCTTCTTGCGTGGCGTACTTCTTCTTCATAGTTTTCCATGTTTTTAGCGCGAAAAAAGTTAAGATAGACGGCGAGAAACACTTTACTTCCTTGTTTTTGCATTTCTCTGGCAACGGAAGCAACAGCCAAAGTTGAAATCGAAGTGGAAATAGAAATGGAAATTGCAAGGACTCAGGTCAAAAGGCTAGGAAGTCTATGAACAGCAAGACAAAATGCTGAATCTGAAATAAAGTGTGCTGTTTGGTTACTAAGTGGCACGAAAATATAATTTCTCGTTATGTGACTATGGGCCAATTTTTCAAGTGTCGGCAAAATTTTTTTTCCTCGAGCGTCAATGTGAGAGCTAACCTAACTCTGACAAGTACTCCGACTTCCTGTTAAGTATTCTTATGAAATTTTTCTACTCTCAAACATAAACAAAACCTAAACAGCTGATGCATTTATCACAGAAAGCCCTATACTGTCGCTTTACAGCTCAATTTTTTGATTAACAGCACTCTGTCATTGATTATTGTTCAGATACAATAAAGGAGATAGTCGAGTACCTCGACTATCAGATACCCGTTACTCAGTTTAAGGGACCAAAGGAAAATAGATATATGCAAGCAGCAAAGCGAGATTAAAACGCGCCACCTACCGGCGGCAGACAGATTTAAGCGTTATGGGCGTTAGAGTGGGCGTGGCAAATTTTTGGATCAATCGATAGGTATTGACGAGACCAATACATTTTAGTTAAAATCTTTTATCTAGCATGAAAATTGTGGGCGTCACCGGCTTGGGCGGTTTGTGGGTCAATCGATAGAACAATCGATGAGAACAATACATTTCAGTTAAAATTTTTATTCTAGCGTCAAAACTGTAGGAGCCACAGTTTTGGGCGGCTTGTGGGCGTTAGAGTGGGCGTGGCACTCTTTTGAAACAATCTTGCGCTGCGTAAGAAGCTCAGGAATCTGCATGCCAAATCTTAATAGCCTAGCTCTTATAGTTTCCGAGATCTCAGCGTTCATCCAGACGGACGGACAGACGGACATGGCTAGATCGACTTGGCTAGTGATCCTGATCAAGAATATATATACTTTATGGAGTCGGAAACGCTTCCTTCTGCCTGTTACATACTTTCCGACGAATCTAGTATACCCTTTTACTCTACTGAAATGTATTGGTCTCGTCGATACCTATCGATTGGTCCAAAAATAAATTTGCCACGCCCACTCTAACGCCCATAACGCTTAAATTTGTATACCGCCGGTAGGTGGCGCATTTTAATCTCGCTTTGCTGCTTGCATATCTCCATTTAGCTGAGTAACGGGTATCTGATAGTCGAGGTACTCGACTATAGCGTTCTTCCTTGTTTAGTTTTCTTAAAATCGGAAAGCTTTGTACATACAATGCTCCCATGGAGACGACCTGCAAGAGCTTGACGAAGCTAGCTCCCTTTCTGATTTATAATTGATTTCTAATCTAACGTGAAACGCAATTGAGGTCACTTCTTAGAATTTTCACAATTATTGTTATTATTATTTTTGATATGTGACAAATTTAAGTCATTGTGTTTTTGTACTCAGCTCGTATTGTTTTTTTGCACTATATTTTTGATAATAATTAATTATTACTATCTATATCCCTTATTGTATTTTTAAAGAACGTAAAATAATTTAATTTTTGTAAAATTTCCTTAAAAAAATAAAAATTAAGGGTCAATTTTCACAGGGGTCGCACAGTAGGACGAAAAAGCCAAAGCTGAGCTACCTTTTGACTGGTTATTATTAAAGACATTTTAAGATGTACAAAATAAACATGTTAAGGTAACATTTTTTAGTAAAATATTTTTTTCAATTAATTTAAAAATAAAAAATTGTTTTTTATTAAAAAAAATATAAATAAATTACTCATAGACTATAGAATCGGTCAACTGCATCTCACAGCTGTCATATAAACGCATATTTCGAAGGGGTATATTTTGGATCTGAATAATGTTGGTACTAACAATTTAACTTTAATCTTATCATTTTTTTAAATCGGTCAATTATTTTTTATACGTGTCATAGAAACAAACGCGGAATTATTGCATATTTCAATAACAAAATCGTATAAATCGAGATTTAGTACCTAACTTGATATCATATTCATAAATAAAAAAATAGTTTTCGCATCTGCATAGAGTTTTAATGTGTATTTATCAATTCGTCACCTTACCCTACAACTTTTAAAAGCTAAGAAAATATTGGAATATTAGGATTTAACTCCGATTGAATTTTACCGTCGAACTTTTACAGGAATATTTATTCCAAAACGAATCGTTCGTCCTATACCTTACACTGCTTTACTTTATAGGGTCGGTACCATCTTCTTTTACCTGTTACATACTTTCCGGCAGGGGCCGTATCAGTTATAGCTTTTACTTTAAGAATCATTATTTTATCGTTATTCATCGCCTTTTATTTATAAGGAATGAAGTAACTGTTATTTTTCAATATTTATATACAAGTCTGAAAATAACAGTTACTTTCTGACTAAAAAATAAGATTATTGGACAAACAAATTTTCTGTTTTTAAAATTAAAGATAGACTATTAGACATTTGCGTATACTTTTTTGTACAAATTTCTTTGCCATTTTGCACTCACCTCATCCTTGCCCTTGACAAGACACATTTTGGTATCATCCTCCGGCGACGTCCAGACCAAACGCTGCTGCTCGACGAGGTCATGTATGCTTAAATTAAAAACCGTATTTCTGCAAAAGAAAAAGAAAGGGCATGGAATAAGAAATGCTCCATCGCAAGGTTTGGTCTACAAAGATGTGGAGATTTTTCGCAGATAGAAATTGTGCGGTTCTTATCTTATCAACCTTATCAATTGAGTAAGGGCATCTGGCGGTTTTCAGAGAATTAATTAAAAAATTAATTAAAATTCATTTGGGCTTTTCGGGGCCCGGCAATCAACACGCAGCCTCTGACCAGAGGACCGCAAAAAGCCCCTGGTCTATGTTTTGTTTTCCTTTTAACCTTTTACCCTCCTGCCGGCTTGAATGCGATATTTGTGCAGAAATTCCAAAATTCTCGTTAATAAAATTTTACACACCCACACATGTGGAGCACGCTCGTGTGTCCAAGTGCGACCCACAAAGTGAAGTGGTGCTAGGATGGGCGTGTCACATCCCGGAATCCCGGTGGTGCAGGTGGGGGTGGAATTTCATAAAATCAACTCATTGATTATTGAAACCACAACTCCGTGTCAGTGCGAGAGTGTGTGTCGGTGTGGTTAGTGCACCTTGGTGTGGGTGCACTCGGTCGAACACTTTATGGCTGCCACATACGGGAATCAGACATCAGACCACCCCAAACCAACCAAAAACCTGCATAAACGACAGCCTTATCGAAACTTTCAAATTTGCCTCTTTTTTTGTTGTGCTTCAGTCTGAAAGCACCAACAAGACCGGAAAATTTAAAATAAATACACCGATACGCAGATACTATATTTGCGGGAGAGCAGTTGGTATGCATACAGATGACCAAATTGAGTGAGGTTTCTAGTTAAGAAACTAAATGGAACGCATCCAACTATTGGCTAGTATACGTTTGGGAAAAAAAATCAAATTCAATCCGTTTGAAGTACAGTGTTTGGTATCCCTTTAATTTTGCAATTAGGCAGAAAGAAACATGAATTATTAAAAACATATAGAACGTAAGCATTAAAAGTGGAAAGTAATCATTGCCTAGTTTTGATTGTATGTTACAAATATTGTATGTTGTCGGATTACAGCTCTCTTCAAGCGCACAGTCAGATAGGCTAACAAATTACTGAATTGTGGACAGACGACTGACAAACTGCGATTGCAGTGGGGAACGAACAGGACACAGCCTTTGTTTGGCAATTATGCAGCGCGTTTTAATTATGACAACGGCAAAAGGCGACTTCAAACGAACGTGCACCATCAGCAACATCGCAGGACAGCAGCAAAATCAGCAGAGTTGCTGCACTGCATTCTTCCTTTCCCTCGACTGTCAGCGCCTGCTGTTTTCAGGACGTATATAGCCAGATATACGCGTAGGTAGGAACACATAAAATGCGCTGAACCAAATTAGCATATAAAGGGGACAGTCGCCGTAATGGGCTGCATGTTGGTCCCGGACTAGAAAGGCAGGTGGCAAGGCTCAAATGTTGCTAAAAGGTTGAGGGAACCGAGCCAGGAACATCGCTGAAGGCAAACTATGGATACACTGCTCAGAAAAGATTGAAGGTACCTAAAACATTTGAATACAAAGCAAGGATCAGCTCAGAATTGGTCAGACATCATTTGAATTCCTATGCCAACTGAAAACAGTATTAAAATCCATATTTGATTTTTTTAAATTAAAATTCTATTTAGAATAGTGATTGAGAGAACTACAGTCTCGATATAAAGATTTGTTTTATCATTCCCACTGAGTCTTAAACCAATTATTGGATAAGGTATTTGGAATAAATTATTTCTAAAATAGTAGAACGCGGAAAAGCGTTCCTAAGGGTGCAGAAATGCTGGTGTTGCTCTTGTTGCAGTTTGTTGTTGCTGCTGTCGCTTGTCGGCGTGCAACGCTCACAAACACATAAACACTTTAGCGCATTGCTTAACATACATAGGCAAACATACACACAGGGTGCAACAAGCAATTCAAGCGCTTGTGAAAACGTCGCGGAAAATGCCAAAGCGAGGTGAAAGCAAAGGGAAATTCGACGTGGAAGTGGGAAATACGCGATATACGCTTGTGTGTGGAGTGGAGCATTTTAAAGAACGCATTTGGCGTGAAAACCGAGCTCATAAATATTTACCACACGGCGTAGAGTGTTAGTGTTGCAAGTGTCCCAGTCGCCCTAGTTGTTGCATTTGTTGTTGCCTGCCAGCAGTGAACGCAACGATTACGCCAGGATTTCCACTGCTTTGGCTCGCATTATCCTGCCCATGTTGTTCTTGTTATTTCCCAGTTGCAGTTGCACATTTACGAATCCTCGTTGTTGCCGCTCCTTTGCAGTTTATTATTGTGCAGCTTAAGCGCAGTTGGCAAATATAAAGGGGAATATGTGGGGAGTGCCTCTAGGAAAACGTTTACATATTACGTTTTAGTGGGATGAAACTCTGGCGATAATGAGGCAGCACGATACCAACGAAATTTGAAATTTTTGGGATACATGGCAACATTCTAAAAACTAAACGAACGGATTCAGAAAATGCTGTCAAAAGTCAACAATTTTATACGTATTCCGCGGCCTATAAGAATCCAAAATCAGGTGTCACTTAACAGTGATAATCAGTATCACACTGCAAAAATGTTTTTTAGTCCTTAGAATTTTTAATTGAACCCCTGATACATAAAACGTGACTAACCAGGACTAATAAAAGGATAAATGCTGGAATCAAATTTATTAGTGTGCGTGCTAACGATAACTAGGCAAATCAGGCACAACAACATTTTGCGTGGTAACCATTTAATGGGAGGCTTTGGGTTTGAAATACGTGCGGTTTGCGGTTTTGGCCCCAAAATATTTCGTGGCTTGCGCCGACATGAACCAAATTTCATTTAGACGAAATACAAAATAATTACAAGTGAACATTAAGTCAAAATAATCAAAATCGCAATTTAGCACTAACTTCAAAATGAAATATAATCAGTTTAAGATACTATTAAGTTAGATTTTGAAATAGCTGAAATTTTACCTGCTTCAAACTCCAGACAAAGTAGAACTATTTATACCCGTTACTCGTAGAGTAAAAGGGTATACTAGATTCGTCGGAAAGTATGTAACAGGCAGAAGGAAGCGTTTCCGACCCCATAAAGTATATATATTCTTGATCAGGATCACTAGCCGAGTCGATCTAGCCATGTCCGTCTGTCCGTCTGTCCGTCTGTCCGTCTGTCCGTATGAACGCTGAGATCTCGGAAACTATGAGAGTTACAATACTGGGATTAGGCACGCAGATTCCTGAGATTCCTGCGCAGCGCAAGTTTGTTTCAGTAGAGTGCCACGCCCACTCTAACGCCCACAAACCGCCCAAAACTGTGGCTCATACAGTTTTGATGCTAGATAGAAAATTTTAACTGAAATGTATTGTTCTCATCAATACCTATCGATTGACCCAAAAAAAAAGTTTGCCACGCCCACTTTAACGCCTACAAACCGCGAAAACCTGTGTCGCCCACAATTTTCATGCTAGATAAAAAATTTTAACTGAAATGTATTGTTCTCATCAATACCTATCGATTGGTCCAAAAAAAAGTTTTCCAGGCCCACTTTACCGCCCACAAGCCGCGAAAACCTGTGACGCCCACAATTTTCATGCTAGATAAACAAATTTAACTGAAATGTATTGGTCTTGTCAATACCTATCGATTGGTCCAAAAAAAAATTTGCCACGCCCACTCCAACGCCCATAACGCTTAAGTCTGTATACCGCCGGTAGGTGGCGCATTTTAATCTCGCTTTGCTACTTGCACATCCCTATTTAGCTGAGTAACGGGTATCTGATAGTCGAGGTACTCGACTATAGCGTTCTTCCTTGTTTCATTTAATTTCAACCGACAACCAACAAAAAAAGCAACCAGCCGCGTTGCCACCCATCAAAATAGCAACAACAACATGGACAACCATAGGAAAGATAAACCCGCAGGCAGGACCCTTTGCCAATATCAGCTGAACCCCAAGGGGCAACACGAAGCAAAAACCACATGCACATAAATAACGACAATGTGGTCGAGGAGACCTCGCCAAACCTCAAAGAGGGTACATACCATCAATCATAAAATAGATTGATGCGAACTCTAAATAGGTATGATGAAGGCGAGAAAAAAGACCTGTGTCTCCTTCACAACGTCGCCATTTTTGTGGTTTGACCCACAAACAGTATCTAGTACAAACAGAACAAGCACGATTCCGAAAAAAAGAGAAGTCTAGATTAAAATGAAGGAAAACTGAGAGAAAAAGGTCCTATCAATTACTTACAACGTTGCACGCTTTTTCATGACCTTGGCTGGGCAGACAAATAAAAAAACCATTCATTTGTTATAAGTAATAACACAATCTGAATAATTGATTTGGTTTTTAAAATTGAGTTCTTGCTATTTGTATTGTCTCGAACAAAAATTTGAAAGGTGACAAGTAAGTATTTAGGAGTTGTGTATAGCTCAAAACGATTGTTGTCCATCATTAACAAAATTAATTGTCACCCAACGATCTGCGTATAATTGTAAGACATTATTTCGCTACATTGTGTTTACTTTTTATGTAAATAAACGAGAGCTCATGTCGATAAGTAAGATTTAAAGCCTTAAAGTAAAGTAAAGTAACTAGGCGAGGATGCTGTAGTATCGACTACCATACACCCATTACTCAGCTTACCAATTTAATTTATTAACTTATAGTCCGAATACAAATTTTGTTTGGAAAAAAATCTTCAAAAATGTGGGCATAATGCAGATATTAGCGAAACGCGCTTGAAAATTTGGGATAACAAAACAGCGGTGAAGCAGAGGCTTAGGAATCTGCATGTGAAATCTCAACTCTATCTCTTTGAGTTTCCAAGATTATGGCGTTAACTCGGCTATGGCTCGGCTTCGACTCGGCTAGTTATCCTTAATCGGAAACGCTTCTGTTTGCTTATTACATGCTTCTCGACGAACAGAATATACCATTTTATTCTACGACTAACATATATTAATATTTCGATTATGGTATTTTTATTGACTTTCTTAAATTAATAAT